GCCGCCGCCGCCACCGCGGCGCTCTCCTTCGTCGTCTTCGTCGTCTTCGTCGTCTTCAGCTGCACGCGCATCAGAAGCGTGCCCGCCCGGTTCCCTCCGCGCGTGTAGTGGTCCCTCCCGTTCGTGTGTTCGGCAATGTGCGACACGCGTGACGAGCGCGTACGGCCCGCGGGAGGGTCGAATGAAAGACCGCGTAGGAGCCGCACACACAGCCGAGAGATCTCCCGGTGGCTCGCGCAGGGTGGTTGCTCGCATTTAACCACCCTCGAATCTTTTCCTCGACAAGTTGCCCCGTGATCATAATGCCGGCAATTCAAAGCCATCCAACAATGGGAAATAATTGAATATATAACCTTATGATAATTTTTTTTTCTTGACAATAATCGCCAAACGCGACACGCGCGGCTTTTGCTAAATTACGCAATTATTATTTTGTCTACGATAAATATTTTACGCGATATTTTCTTCGAGCTCCAAGTGTTATTTGATTTTTTTTTATTTTTTTTTCAATTGCCCACGGCACGATTCTCGTCACACAATTATGAGTGCCGATTCTTTGCGCGTATGTTCGTTTTATTATTAGCTGCATTATGTGTGTGACGTCAAATTTTTCGTAACGCAACATTTCTCTCTCTCTCTCTCTCTCTCTCTCTCTCTCTCTCTCTCTCTGCGGTTTTGCAAAACCAAAAAAAGAAACGAATCCTCGAAACGAAAACACGTTGAATTCTTCTTCTTCAACGAAGCGATTGGGACGGAACCCGGTGCCGCTCGTCAATCTATCTCTCGACTGTTATTTAAACGGAGAACGACGGCGAACAGATATGATAACGGCGCCATTTCGTCGGCGGCCACAGGGTAGGAGCAGGTTGGTGCGCTGGGTGGTTCTTCTGGCGCGACGCCAGGCGTCCGCCGAATTTAGCATCGCGGCGCTGACTAACTTGCGTGGCATTCATTCAATCGTCGAACCAAAAAGCCCCGCTCTGCCGCTCACAGTCTCTCTTTGCGCCGCGGTCTAAGAAGATTAGAAAAAAAAAAGAGAGGAAGAAAAGCGAAAAAAAAAAAGGACAGACTGGTATCAAACCCCCGAATTTTTCCGAGACTCAATCCAAACTAAATAAACTCGAGTCTTGAACAAGTAAAACGAAGGAATTACCGCGACGTGACTTGAACACGCGAGGCAAGTTTCCGAGAGCAAACGCGAATATTGTTTCTCCGTCATTTTAACGTTGAAATCTTTCGGTTTTTGTTACAAAGGGATTTAGGGAAGGAGTTTCTCTGTCGCAAATTTCGAGCCAATTTACTACGAGGCCCGAAGCGCAAGTCGCAGTTAACGATTTTAATTCTCTTTGTGCGTCATATATAAACAGCAAAACTTGTAAGATCCAACTGTCATAAAATCTCGCGATTTTTTACGCGAATTCGTGATTCACACAGTCGACTATTCGCCTCCTCCCCCCCGTCCGTTCCGTATATATTCCGTGCGTCATTTTCGCGCTACGGAAAAAAAATGCTCGAGATTCCTCGAGATGGAAGACAAAAAAAAAAAAAAAAAAAAAAAGAGGACGATGAAACGCGCTTTCTGCACACGCGTGCGTCAGAACGAATCGATCTCGCGCGAGAAAAGGCGCACGTTGCACGAAAATCTCCGCGGAACAGGTGTCCCGCCGGCGATATCGTAAATCGTCGACGGGAGTATCGTCGTCGAACGGCCAAAAATAAAGTCACGAGCTCTCGAGCGTGAGAAAGAGAGAGAGAGAGAGAGAGAGAAAGAGCACTGACGCAACTCGCGAACCCGACAACAGATTGCCATCGCGCAACCCGAATCGCCCATCAACGTAATTCGGGGAGGACCGGATAGAGCGATCGCGTCGTGGCTTCCTACGCTTTATCCGTCGGCGCATTCTACAGGTGCCCAAAGGTGCCCCCGCGGTTTGTTCGTCGTTCGTCGAGTCGCGTATTTTCGGCGCTTCTTGGAGCGTCTCCAGCTGCGGGGGAGAAGATGAAACGCGCAACGCGCCGTCAACGGAGACGAGAAGATTCATCTTTGATGGATAAATCGCGCGACCACACCGCGCGCATTTTCCTCACGAAATAAAGAGCGGGGAAGCACACGCGATAAACGAAGGAACAAAGAAATAAGATTTGCGTTATTGCGCGAAAATAAGAAAAGTATCGTAGAGCGAGAAGATTGTTTGAAGTTGGATACTACATGGACAAGTAGACAAACTTTTTTTCTCTTCGGTGCGTGATGATGTTGCACTATCGATAAAAATAGACGGCAATAAATTAATTTTAAGACAGCGATTTACACGTGCAGGAGTTTGTACCGGAGTGAAGTAAATTTGTACACAACGGAGAGGTCCTCTGCTTTGGGGTAATTTCTCGTCCGAAACAAAAAAAAANNGANAANCACNNGGGNGTTTTTTTTTTTTTTTTTTTTTTTTTTTTTTTGGCCAAAGCGACCTGAGACATCGGGTCATTAAGAGTGATTCAACGAGGGCGGCGGGATCGTTTAGGGGCGAAAAAGCGTGACTGTATCGCGTGTCGTTCCCGTAAACCATCCTATGGGGATCTTCCTATACAAATCTTCTCGTGCTCGTGCGCGTGCTTCCCTTTTCTTCTCGAGTCAGATCCGCGGTGGCAAGTATCTACTTGGCGGAAAAAAGGGAAAAGCACGCGATCGCTATTTAAAAGATTGCTCGTAGGTGGGTGGCTTTTTAGCGTTCGGGATATACACGAGGAGGCAGGGAGGCAAAGAGAGAGAGAGAGAGAGAGAAGACTTCGACTTCGCCTCCGTCGGTCTCGGCATGGGGTTGCCGTGCTATTTTCAGGCTCTGGTGGCTCGATGCAGCTGTCGTGTTCCTCGGGTAAACCACCTCTCTTCTATTCCACGGCCATCCGCGAGGCGCGACAAGGTAAGTCGAGAAGATCGGAATTCAAAATCTCACGCGCGACGGCGCGTTTTCTTTCCTCGAAAGACAAATTTTTCCTCTTTCGAGGTCGAAAGAGTGTTTCGTCAATCGTCAAAATGTCAGATAACGTGTGCGGTTTGTTAATTGAAAATCGTGCGGTTTATTAATTAGAAAAAAAAAACAGCAACAATTTGTTCGGCAACATTTCTATTTTAAACTAACACGCGTTCGCACCACGTGATCGTCTTTCAAAAAATTCCGCGTTCGATTGTCGCGAACGTCGCGAAATAAATAATCCCTTCGAGAATCTTCTTCAAGAACGATCGAACAGTCCAGAAACCTCTGTAATCTTCGATTACAGAGAAAGCTGCGAAGGAAGAAAGTTGACGGATTCCGAGAACACGGCGGCGGAGAAGACGCGCTTCCGCGAACGGCGACCGGGAAAGCGGGAAATAAAAGTTTCGTGTGTTCCGCGCGCCCACTGGAGCGTGAGGGATGAAGACGAAGCCGAAGATAAGCCGCGCGAAGAAGTTTGGCCCGGTGCCAGACGGCGGATTTTCAGCCGTCTACGTGTACGTCTTCCAACTTTCCCGTCTGAGCTTTCCTTCGGCTCCCCTGTACGTCCTCTAGGATTTCTAGGGTGCAATGACACTGCGCGCAGCGCGCTTAATGACTATTCTCTATTCATGGTCCGTGAATCATTATGCAGGAATACGCCTCGCGCGCGTCTCGATTGCTCCGCATTGTTGCTGATTTTAGGCAGACGAGAAGACTATAAAAAGAACGAAAAACGGATAAGAAGCGTATTAGAAGCAGATAGATAGATAGAATATGAATATACATAATTGTAAAAAATTCCAACTTCGTCATATGCGTAACAAATATTTTTGTAAAAAAACTACAAATATATTTTGACAATTGACAATTTGAACACCTGTCATTTTTCTCAAGAGCGCCAACCACATGACTCTAAAATAATGTTAAATAAAAAATTAATTCTACCATAGCGTCAAGTAGAAAGTAATAGACAAAAATGTTGTAACACAATTAGAAAAAATTAACAAATGCCAGTCATCGAAGGAGTTTCGCTCTGTTTAGATAAAGAAACGAGTTGACATATTTTTATTTCGAATCGAGCAAGAGAGAAAATTGACAAAACAAATCTGAGAGCGCCGGTGACATAAAACGCCGACCGGAACGACTCTTAATTTAGTTCTGGGTGCAAGAGGTTAACACTGGGTGGAGACATACGTGGAAGCGCCTCCTTCTTGGGGGAGAACACCGTAAGAATACGTTGGCTCGTGTTTGGAGGGATGTCCTCGGGGATAAAGGGAGACAGTTCCTTCCGGAGACGGCGATCAGCCGCCCGTGCCTCCCGTCTCCCTCGATCGTGTTGCTATTCTTACATCGCCATTCGAATTCAAGTTACTCGCCTCGGTGTTGCTGAAAAGCTGGACGGTCATTCGATATTGTTCCGATCAAAATTGTCCAGCGGACACGTGAGTGTGCGCAGCTGTGTAATTTTTTTTTTTTAATTACGTCGATAAGTATAATTAATTCTTATAGGCGTCTTGTTTCTCTCTCTTGTAGATTTATTTCATGGAAGACGAAATGTCTTCCATGCGGCCGATAGAGCACCCTCTTTCTTTTTCTCTCTCTCTTGTCCATATCTATTTATCTACCGATCTCTAGCCCTTTCTGCTGGCTGTACGTTCGCAGACGCGCTCCTGTCAGCCAGTGTAGAGTTTCGTCGTGAAATTCGTAAATGAGCCCCCGTGACTCGCGCTTTTGAATGGAAGCCGACGGTTTTTTTTTTTTTTTTTTTTTTTGTTACGAAAGCTGCCACAGGATGCGGGTGCGTGCAACGGAGAAGGGGTGGCGACTCTCATTTTCGTTCTTTTTGGCGCTTTTTTTCTGACTCCCCCCTCCCCTCCGTCTCTTCTTTCTCTGTCTCGCGATGATCGGGGAGAAGGGGCGGC